CACACAAATTGCATTGTTGGTCATGAGAATGAAATAAGCAAAACAATTCGTGAGAGTAAAAAATTCTGTTTTGTTAAAAAAAATAAAAACGCAACAGCAGACGCTGGTCTACGAAAAGGAGATTTGTTTTTCACAGTGCTTTTCAACAGAATGAAAAATTTTTGTAATTAAATTAACGAAATACCTTAAACCCACTTGAGCTATACTTCGTTTACTTTCTGTAGCGATGTGACCTTCACTTTGACCGACGCAAAGTAGAAAAGAACAGCACTAGGCCAGAAAAGGAAGGAGACAACTCTCGGCAAAGCTCTTAACCGGTGAAGAGCGTATAATCCGTACAGTACTGCACGGAAAAATTGACCATTTTATCCACTACAATTGCATTGCTCAAATGTGCTGTTATTGGTACCATTTACTACTCAAAATATCAACGAGATGTTTATTTATATTTGAAGACATATTAAAGGCTTTAACGCTTGTTTTCGACTCGCACTACTATTCATAAATGAACAAAACTTTTGGCAGGTACTATATGAAAAAGTATGTTTAATGAAGAAGAGTCGAGAGTATAATGAGCTTTTTTCTCCCTACGATTTTGCTAGGGCGCATCCAAGACATTGGAAGGGGCACATCGCTAGAGAAAGTGAAGTATACTTTTAAATCCTTAGCGTTTACGACGTGTACGAGAAGGAGGGGTGCTTCTACTTCTGTCTCATCGTAAGGCGCCAGATAGTCGCGTATCTTTTGTGCGAAAATGAAAATGGGAAAATTGCATTGTGCCGAATTCTAACAAAATTATTTATGGAAATTTTTGAAAACGGTTTAAAGTGTTGTTAAGTTTTATAATTCATCTAAATAAATATCTTTTAGTAATCGGTGATGAAACGTAATTGGATATATAGTGTATTTGCTAAAGCTTTAAGTGTGTTTTCGGATAAAAAACTTTTTCACTTCTCTCTATAAGTCGTAAAGAAAAGAAACTTTTTATGTAACACCAAACATATCTAATATGTGACATCTTCTATCTGAGCCATATTACGACAAGTTATTGGTTGAAGAAGTCTCTTGAAATGTCCGACAGGACAATTTTTCACCCTTAACGAAGCCACTAATCAAAAAAGTCCATTTTGTTCTCCATAACAGAGAAATCCCAAAGGGAATGAAGTAAATAAATGTATACAGGGTCATATTACGTAATTTCTCATGGAAATTCAGTAGACAGTGTTAACATCGCATAACGGAAACTGTAAGTCTTGTAAACAGAATATAAGTTATGCTAGGTCACCCTATATCGTGAACAAACTAAGCTTTCGCTTATAGAAACAAATGGTCATTATGGATGATTATTTTGATAATTACTCACTCTGTTATCTTTATCTCGTCTTTAAAAGTAATTTAATGCATTCTTTTATTCATTTTTTATTGAAAGTTTTGAAGCGTAAAATACACAAACAATTTACTGTTTTTTTGTGTGATACTTTCTGAACAAGTTTTTAAACTACCTCGAGTTATGTTGATAAATTATTACCTAACTTTTTCAGTTAACCCTCCCATCCCCGTCGTTTCTGGATAACTGTCATTCAAGACTTATTCGTTGTACACCTGCTAGATTTCTTTCAACATTTTCAAAGTTTTATAGCTCAATCATTACATTAAAAGTTGTCATCTACTATCACCATTTAAACGCTTAACTTTTACACTCATTTTCAGCTTGATGTTCGACATGAATTTTTAAAATCATTGAAATAATATTTTGAAAACAGATTATAAAAAAAACAAAATGCTAGACATGCAGTAAAAATTTTTTATCGTCATATACTAAGGTAGTAATATGTAGTTGTCATAATAAAAATTATTATTTAATTACATGATTACCAAAAGTAGCAGGAGATTCGAAGATCTTAGATATCTGCTAAAGATGATAGGTACTAGAGGTCTGAGTTTAGTTTAATCATCAGATTTAGTTCCTGATCTTGGATATTTACTATTTGATACGTTGGAGACAGTAGTCTAAAAACAAATGGTTTTTAAGATAAATTTCGGTTAATATTTCTCTTAGAAGATATGATATACGAGTAAGTAAAAATAAGTTTGTCATGGAGTTGACTGATTCTTTTTGTTTTTTGTTTTATTCTGACAATACTTGACAGTTGAGGGTTCTGTTCGCGTTTCTTGTTTGTATTTGGTTAATAGTTTCTCCCTTGTATTTTTTTGCATCGACTTTTTTCCTGATTCCGATTAGGCGCTGCTTGGTTATTCGGTTGCTGACGTTTTGTGACCTACTTCAGGTTATCAAGTCGCATGAAATGAAAGATAAAAAGGTTCATTAGGCTCACGACCGACTGGAAAACCGATAGCGGAAAATGAGAAATCAATGCAATCCCAAATAACAGCATAGGGACGCGATGGATAGCTTTCAGGTTTGGTGAAATGCGAATGGAGAGGCAAAAACCCATCTTGTCTTAACAGTAGTATCGCAAATTAGCTAGTTAGCCAGAAACGATTATAAACCAGTCTATCGTAGTCATATAATCATCATTTATAAACTGTCTCATGGTTGTTTACTTTTAGACTTAGTTAATTAATGTTTGAATGGTAGAAATCGGTTAGAGAGATAGAAGAGTGATACTTAGTTTGTATAAAGAGTAAGAGGAAGTTATAGAACTGGAGCTGCAATGTAGAGAAGTAAATATTAGGAAGGAAGTCAGACAGGGATGCACACGGTCACCTCTACTTCTTAATCAATACATCGAAGACGCGATCAACATCATTAAAGGCAGTATAACTGTAGGGATAGATATACAGGGGCAAAAGATTAGTATGCTTAGGAGGAGTTCGATATAGCTTTAAATAAAATGGAAGCGGTACTGACAAAACTAAAATACTGGTTTGCAAGGAAAGAAATGTAGGAAAAGAGCGAATGTAAAAATAAGAGACGAAAAATTAGAAGAAGTGGCTGATTTCTAGGTATCTATAGGAAGTCAGGACGGAAGGAATAGTAGGGATATAAAGCAGAGGATAGCGCATGGTCAAGTCGCCTTCAATAAAAAGAAGACACTTCTATGCTCGCGAACAGTTAATTTACAAATTCGAAGAAGATTGTTAAAGGTGTATGTTTGGAGCGCGACGCTGTACGGGTGCGAAACATGGACGTTGGGCACGACGAAAAAAAAAAGGTTAGAGGCGTTCGAAATGTAATGTGACAGGTGAATGATGAGGATACCGTGGATAGAGAAGGTTAGAAATGAAGAGGAATTAGAAAGAATAGGAGAACGAAGGACTCTATGGAAGTCAATAAGAAATAGGTGAGATAGGTTGGTAGGACACCTTCTCAGGCATGAAGGTCTAGTCAGAGGCACATGAGAGGCAGAAACAGGACTTAAGAGGAATAGAGGTAGACCTAAATTAGATTAGTGTTCGCAAATAGTTAATAGGATGTGGGTTGTTCTAGTTTTGGGAAAATGCGAAGATTAGCTCAGGATAAGAAGGAGGTGCGTGTCCAACCATTGACGACCTTATGATGATGAGGAATCGGTTTAATAACCTGCGGCATCATAGTGGACCGACGGAGGGAAAAATTGCCACCCCTCTGTCCTTTTCCAGCCCTGTCTGTACTCGCCAACATGCCACAGGTCACTAAAGTCAACCCCGAATCTTCTTATACCTCAGTAATAAACATTCAATTCTTATCTCTATGTCCAGACCTTTTTGAATTTTAGAGTCTAGCAACGGATTAGTCTGTGGTCTCGCATCGCAAAACTACTTTCATTTTCTTTTTTCTTTTAAAGCAAAAACTTCATTAAGAAACAAACATGTCCTTTCGAAACAACAATTTCGACTTTTTAAAAACTGCAATTACTTTGGGGATTGTTATTTATTCTAGCGAGACTATTTCTTTTGGTAGTCTATGAATTATTCATTAGCACGTAAATGTTAATGTAGTTAGATGACAAAATGGTATCTCGGCCTTTAAACTAGACACAATAAAACGGTTCATCTTTATATTCGTTATTATGAAAGATGTAAAAACCCGAAGGGTAAAATTCTCAACGAAATTAAGCCGTTAAACTGAAATGCAAAACAATCTACTTTCCTGCGTCATAAAACTTAATGAACTCTATGTATGATTCACTGAAGCGGTCTGAACTTTCTGATAATATTTGTACTTTCGCAAAAGTGAGACTATTCTATTATAAAAGCTCGGAAAACTGAGAGTCCATAAAAGTTAATGATATTTTGAAAAAGTTTTTATTACCCTTGAGTACCAACTATAGTTCTGACGCGACAGGAAGTATGTTACCTGTGTATTGTCATCTCGAACCTGTTATCATCATCTCAAAGTTAGTCTTGACAGAAAGAACACTGACTAACTGAAACTGCTGCTTGTTAAAAAGTAGTCGCTAAGATCCAAGTAAGTTCCAAATCTTGATCCACTTGTAAAAATTTCAGTAGAATAATATTCTGTTTTGGTTTGTGTTATTTTTCATGAAAATCGATATCCTTAATTAAAAAAGGACTTCTTAAACATTACTGGACTCACAACTAATGGTAAAAATTTATTGTGGGTATCTAGTAGAAATAGTGGAATGTAAAATACTACACGGTTCCTAAGTATTTGAAAGGGTACAGTTTGGATTCCGAGTGGGCTTATCGTGATGCCTGGAACAGTAGCATTCTAAACAGAATCTTTAATTTTTCTTTTACTTTAATTTGATTCGTCTTATTTATCTCCACCCAACCATTCTAACAGTTCCTAAAAGATGACCGAGCAAGCCCTTTTAAAAGACAAGACTTTTAGAAAATATCCCAACAAGACTAGAGAGATTGTGCTTGACAACTGATGCACAGCGAGCATCTTTGTTGTCTATCCTGTATTGCTGATGATACTTCTTAGAAGTATTCGCTTCTTGCATGTAGCTATTTAGGAATTGCAGCTAATGACATATCGACAATATTCTATGAGCCGGTCTTGTTCTCTGAAGTTCTCTTTCATATTGCAGGAGACTTCAGAGGCAACGCGAACGCCTGTGTCGAGAAGTTTACAAGGATTGGACCTTCGAAGACTGCATCCAAAACCTCAACATCTCAATATCATGGCCTTTCTACACGGACAAAATCGAAACGTGGACCGAAAATAGTTCGATCGAAAACGAGACCATCACTTTCTCGGTATCCACAGACGATGGTTTCACACCTGTTCTTCCACCCTTCGAACTGTGGCAGACCATCATAATTTCCATATGCTTGGGGATATGCATCATCCTCACAATATCTGGAAACGTGTTGGTTCTTCTTGCCTTTCTCGTTGATCAAAATATCCGACAACCTAGCAACTACTTCATCGCATCCTTGGCTGCAACAGATATGCTTATTGGTAAATAAAACTTTTGTAATGGTTTTATTGATTAGCAGGTAGTTACATGTAGCTTCAATTTCAGGAACGATTTCGATGCCATTTTACACGGTTTACGTTTTAATGGGGTATTGGGATTTGGGACCACTATTGTGCGACCTTTGGCTGTCAGTAGATTATACGGTTTGTCTCGTTTCTCAATATACCGTGCTCCTCATTACCATCGATCGGTTTTGTTCTGTGAAAATTCCCGCTAAATATCGAAGTTGGAGAACGAAACCAAAAGTCATTTGGATGGTTACAATAACATGGATCATTCCCGCTCTTCTCTTCTTCATCAGCATCTTCGGGTGGGAACATTTCGTTGGGTACAGGGACCTTTTACCGGGTCAATGTGCAGTTCAGTTCCTCAAGGATCCCATTTTTAACACGGCACTCATCATCGGATATTACTGGACGACTCTGGTGGTACTGTTCATACTCTATGGGGGTATTTACAAGACGGCGTACGACATGCAGAAAAAGAGCGAGGCGAAACAAAGGAAGATGCATTCCATGGTGGCTCTCAGTGCGGGGGCGATGACCGGCATGGCTGGAAGAGCAGCCGGTATCGGTTTGTCTAAAACTCAAAGTACTCTTTTGAGCCAGGACAAAGTCCAAACAAACTTGACTCCAAATACTAACAAAGTTCCATTAGATACTCTTACAAGTAACACTTTAACGGTAAAGGATAATCAGCCTGGTGGTGGTGGTGGTGGTGGTACTTCTGGTGAATCTAGTTCAAGTCAAAAAACTAGCAGTCAAAGAAGTAACACCACAATAACCACGACGATAGCAACAGCCGACATGACTACGGAAAGACGAGCATTCATCATACCTCCCACGCATGTTACTGCAGAAGAAAAATTCGAAAGATCCAGTAGCCCCGCGTTCGATTCGGATGAGGATTGTCCTTCCACTCCTTGTCTGCAAGATTTGTCCAAGAAACGGGCTTCTGTGGTTGGAATTCTCGTCAAATCCAGCGTCCCGCCAGTAAACGCTGTTAATAGAACATACAAAATAAACGGGTCGCTCTTCCCTGAACAAATGGATAATACTGAAAGACGAAAATTATCTCCAGATACTGCCCAGTCGCTTCCACAAATCGAAGAGAACAATTCGGGTACAAACAGTTTGCAATCTTGCGCAGCTAACGTGAACGTTTACTCTCCTGAGTTCTCCTTAAAATCCCAAAGCATCATAACGCCCCCATCGAAATTCCAAGACAGCAGCGCGTCGCCTTGCAGCACCCTTAATTTAAAAAACCAAACCTTAACTAAAACACATAGGACATGTGATGTACTATTAGGATTAGATAACGCCGATCTGAGATTCATGGATGAAAGTTCTGTAGCAGTTTCCTCTGTCGCTTACGAATCACCACCATCCAGTATAATTCAGGAATCGTCATCGATCAAGTCCAGCGTCCAAGCGTCCTCCAAACAAGTCACCCCTTTACCAATATGTAAACTGAACAAGACGGACACTGAGATTATCCTGACGCAGGACAAAACAGTTGTAAATAGTGTGGTAGTCGTAGAAAAAGTTAGTCAGAGGGAAGAGACTGTGGGTTCGGATGAAAAAACGTCTGGAACCGCGTCTAGTCCCAGTGCCATTGTGACAACTAAAGTTGAATTGAACAGAAACCAAACCAGTACCAGAACCATAATCGATGGTTGTAATTCGAATAAAAGAAGTTTCGTCAAAAGCTTCGGGAAGCGCTTAAAACTGGGAACGAAGAGAAAGGAGCAATTCGGACGCCAGAAATCGAAATCGGAAAACCGAGCTAGAAAAGCATTGAGGACAATCTCTTTTATATTGGGTGCTTTCGTGGTTTGTTGGACGCCGTATCATATTCTAGCCCTAGTCGAGGGTTTTTGTTCCGAACCACCATGCACCAACGAACATTTATTCATGTTCTCTTATTTTTTATGTTACGCCAATAGTCCATTGAATCCGTTTTGCTATGCGCTCGCTAATCAACAGTTTAAGAAAACATTCACGAGAATCCTCAAGGGAGATCTACACGTTACGTAATCTCGTCTTTACAATAATAAAATAACTGCTTTGGGCCTTGAAACAAAAGACACATTAAGTCAATAATACATTATCCAGACAATAATAAATTTCGTGGCATATTAGCTCAATGAGAAAAAATTGGGATTGTTGCTATTTCTTCTAAATTTTGATACCCATTGGTTTTTACTTGCTTCCCTCTTTTTCGTGTCGATAATTGACGCATACAAGTCCGTGCAATCTCGTTAGGGTGCTTTTAGACTAAGCGAACTATTATTAATTCATGTTCAGCGTCACGCGTGGAGGTTTCTGTTAAAAAGAACCGACCGAACTGTTTTCGTTATTGATTTAAGATTTCCTGTTTTTTTTTGCGTATAATACAGCAAAATAATCAAATGATGTCATTACAAAATATGACAGATGTAGGACATCGCTTACTAGTAAGTAATAATGTAAATATAATTATCTTTGGCAATATTTTTTCAGGTTTCAAATTAGATTTTCATGCGGTTCTCTCATATTTCAGAAAATTTAGGACAGTATGCAATTATCTGTCGTTTAAACTACGCTTATTGTGCTTTCTTACTACCGTAGTCTAAACACACCTTCATGTGTAAAGCAATGGTACGGATGAGTAGGTTTTTGGGAAGCAAGTAAAGATTGTTGTTAACGAAACAAAATCTCAATTTTTTCTACAAAGAAAAAAGTAATATTAGTAAGCTTGTTGTTAGTAAATTGTTGTACTTATAACATTATTGTAGTATCTACTTGACGTTAATTGCTTCAAAAATAGGATTAAGTTTTCTTAATTTCATTGATAGAATGATATGAATCTTCCTGATTATATTCTGTACGAGCCCTAACAGAATAAAGTCAGGAAATGCAAAAATCTAAAAACTACTTCTTGATTTTGTACACATTCCAAAAATCTATTGAATACTCATTCCGCATTTTAATTAAGTACTTTAATTTCTGAGTGATACATTTGTGTGATATTTTTTTATTTTAATTGATATTTATTAGGAGTACAGTATAATTAATTTTTGTACTTTAATAAAGTGCGACTAAAGTTTACAAATTGATGGCAGCTCTACTCTACTATTTCAGTAGTTACAAAAATGTTTCAATGGGTTTGTACAGATAATAATTGATATAAAAGTGACATGTTTCTGCCTATGCATCAAATATTTTTTAAGCAGGAGCATGTTACTTTTGGTAAATATTTTGAGCATATTTACTAAAAGGTGTTAATTGTGCTAAAGTGCTACTTGGAGTGCTTCAGCGAATCAATGTGATTACCGATGACTCAACACTGAGTACTCATCTTCTCTAACACTCTATAGTATCTGCAAATGCAAAATTTTGTATTAATATAACTGAAAATTCATTGATATCTCTTAATTGTAACGTTATACAATAATTATTGTGTGACCCATACTCGATGGATTGATTTTACTTTCGTTATCGCGAAATAGTTGATTTAGGAATGTAGATATAGCAATGAATATTTATTGATAAATAACAGATTTTGAAACGTGAAAGTGGAAGAATCATTGTGATTTTATATTTATGGTTTTCATAAAACATTTGCCTAGTCAATTCCATTAGATATTTGATTATTTAAAAACGATTACATAATATTCAATAAGTCTGTGATTTATTTACACCTAAGTAGATTTAGTGTTTATGGAGTACGTTTGTAATTGTGTATAGGTAGATTATTTATTTATTTATTGACCCCCTCAACAAATAGATGACGTTTCAAAAATATCGTGTGTCAATAACTACGTAGGTGTATACCGTCATACATATAAAACCATATCAACTTTTCTGAATAAAAATTCGCACACATATCCTATCTACTAATAAATAATATAAATATTTATTTTTTTTTATTTGACTCAAATATCTAGGTACTTAATTTAAATGTTGATTATAACGCATCTTGTTTTCTAAAGAAATAGTAAAACATTCGA